CTATATATATATATATATATATATTAATTTTGCTTTTTTTAGATGAATTTTTTGCTGCTTCTTAAAACAGGTATAAAATTTTAATTTTTTATTAGAAAGTTATTTTTAAAAGCAGTAAGAAAACCGTCCCAAACGAAACCTTTATGCATCCCATAAAAGATAAAATTTGATAAAATTCTTTTTCTAAACCAAAGCACCCTTTTTTTTAAAATATAGTTTAAACTTTTACCTAATAGTTATGTGATCTTTGATTATGAAAGCTCGTTTATCTTTCTTCTCCACTTCTGACGATTTCAAAGGGTGTCTTCGGCTTTTAGAAAATTTCATGGCGACAATCTCTCTCAATTCAACATCTTTGAAGATTACCGATATTGTTTTGCTTTGTCATTTAAACTTAAAAACAAGCTTCTCACTCTAAACTCTAAAACTCCTTTGTTCTTAAACTTCAGCTTATCCGCTAAAAACTTGTTATGTTAGAGCTATTTACTAGTCACATTCTTTTTTTTATCATGATAGAATAATCTAAGTAATTTTCGAGTCATGATTGAATACAACTAAATGTTATTCTCTTAATTTTTAAAACTGATTGACTTATATTCAACACATAATCAAACCTTCTTCGAACATAATTTGATCATGATCGAAGAATAACCATAGAAGATTTAAAATCTCTCTCTATAACTCAATTTCATATTGAAAATTTTGCTAATTTATAATCTTTTATAAGACAAAGGAAAGAAGCATGTGGTGATGACAGGTTTTTGGTACCACAAGAAGATACTGGATAAGATAGGTCCAAAAAATATGGGCTATTTAAGAACAAATTCCTGCTTGCAAAAATATGGTGGCTTATGCTTGGATTTTCTTTCATGAATGAAGAAAAAAATAAAAAAAAAATTGCAGTGCACCTTTTGCATTCTTTTTATTAATTCCTGGCTGTCATGCATGGCTCAAAACAAAGGTATGTGGCCCCATTTGTATGCTTTTTTTTGTTATATATATGAGCAACTACTTTAAAATATGAATTACTCCATAATTTTTATTAAATTATTTGTCAATAATTACACTAAAATTTCTTATATATATATATATAGTGTTTCTATTGGTTGACTTAGGCTCTGTTTGGGGCAACATGCTTATTGTTTTTTAAATCAGCTTTTCAGTACAAAAATTTCTAGTTCAAAAATTTTTTGTACTAAAAAATTATTTTTAGAAAGTACTATGAAAGCTATCTCAAATGAAATTTAGTGATTTAATTATAATTTCTCTCACATGTGTAGATTGATAATCAAAGTGTATTTGAATTCATTTGGAGTTGACTTGAAATATATTATTTTTTGAGTCAAGTAAAATGTACACAAAGTGCATTTTGATTTTGAGTTGAATTTGAGCTGTTTGCAGCTATTTCAAATGCAAATTTAGTTTGATTCGCTCGAATATGACTTGATGTTTGCCCTATCTGTACCCCTCATCAACTCCAAATATAGCATCTGATTTGGGGTAATAGTCGATCAATCCAGTACGAGTGTTAACTCTAAATTTAAATTGATGCTTCGTTTGAGGCTATTTTTTACTGTTTTTTAAAATAACTTTTTTGTATAAAAATTTTTAGTTCAAAATACTTTTGTATTAGAAAACAGCTTTAAAAAATAGCAAGAAGGCCGTCTCAAGCATAGCATGAGGTTGATAATAATAAGCTAAGTTAAATAATTATTTGAGGATAATTTGAAAAAGTTGATTATTTTTTTATTGAAGTTTGGTGGCATTGTGTTTGCAAGATTGATAGGGTTCTAGCTAGGTGGTTGACATGTCCAAAATGAGGCTTCATGATTTTCCCTCAAAAGTTCTCTCTCTCTCTATGTATAAAGATGTGGTCTTAGATTTAAGGAAAACATAAAATGATAAATTTTTAAATATAAAATCATAGTGAGAATAATCATTCTTTCTTAAGAGGATAAAAGTCCATTATCAATATCATTCATTTTTGTAAGATCATTATTATTATTATTTTTGGTTTAAAAAACTTCAAAATTTTACAAATTTATCAATTTGATGCATCAAAGTTTTTATAATGAATATGCTCAATTATGTAATAAGATTATTGTAATTTGATAGTACAAAGACTTTAATAAATATATGATTACTTTTTCGTAGAAGATCAAAGCAAACCAATTAATTTATACCCAATCAATTAGTGCAAATCTTTAATTAATTGTCTTAATTGTTTTGCCTTCAATTGGCATTATGCTATAATTGCAGCTAGGTCCTGTCCTAATGTCAATAATTGCACTTTTTTTAAAGAACTTCTATTCTCTTTCAAGCATATTAATGGACTTACTCCATTGGAGGTGAGAATATGATTTTGACTATGATTTTCACTAATGTAAGCTAAAGATTTGTAACGATATTCATTTTGATAATTAGAGAAGGCATTAGTATAAGTTATTTCATGTGGTGGAAGTAAAAGAGCTTTGATGTGTTAAGAGTTATAAGTGGCGGTGACAGCGAGCATCAGCACGTGGGTGAACATTGTAGCAAACAAATGGGCATGTAACAAAATAATGACAAGAGATAGTTGAACTTCCACTAACACACAATCGCTCGACTCTTATCTTGCCAATAAAGAAGTTAGTGACTAAGGAAGAATACGATTGATGGACTCCGACTAACTATCATTCTTTGTTAATCTCTTGATGCTTACCTAGTCAACACTTAGATCCAACTCTATCGAAATTTATTTAGTTCACTATAACATAACCTACTTGTATGACTGTTGCTAAATAGTTTTTGGATATCAAATGGACCTCCCCATATGGTAATCTTAATGTGTCTGATTTATACTCTTTACAATCAGTTTCGCTATAGCGTCTATTGCTCTAGTTAATGTCCATCCTATCCAAATGTGATTTCTATGTTATGTATGGCCGTGGCTAAGGATATATTTGATTGAATTAGAGTCTTCTTTTTTATCATTCAAAACCTCTTCCCAAAAAATATATTCGATTGTATACAAGACGACATATTCTTATTCCTTATTTATTTTATGGGTATAAGTGAGTAAGTAGAACTTCATTTCACTTCAACTTCTTAGGAATTTTGGAGTTCTCCCACTTGTTTAATATGTTCGATTTAGATAATTCAATCTTCCCCATTGATCAATGCATAATCTATGGCCCCACCATCATGTACGAAGCAGGCTTGATTAGACTCCTCTTAAGGAGAAGAATCTAAGGAGTGTTACGATCGAATCATTGTTCATAGTTGGCCCTAAGTTGCACTACTTGCTTAGGTCTATTGCTAAGGAATATGGAGTTGGTTGGCCTCTGAACTTGTCCGAATCGATTAGTTTGATTTAGTTTGGCCTAGTTCAGTAGTTCAAGGCCAAAATGTGCTAATTTTTAAACAATTTTGGCCACTTAGATTTGGCTCATTGAATCAGATGATTTCAACACTAATACATTGAACTAGTCAAGTTTGATTGGCTTCTGAAGTAAATGTCACATATTTCTTATTAGATTTGGATTGTTTCTTGGTCTAATTTGAAAATTTGTGCTAAAATTGTTATTTGAATGAAATAATTTTGCAAAGTATATCAATTCTTGTAATTAATTATTAGTTTAAATTTAAATTAAAAATCAATATTTTCTTAGAATTTAGGTTATATTTTTAATAGCATGATATAATTTAATAAATGAAATTTAAATTTGTAAATTAATTGTATATTAAAGTGAACGACTATCATGCAATTAAATATTTTTAAAGTAAACTTCAAATAAAAATATTAATGTATGCACTATACATATGTTACAAATTTATTCTTTTGCTTCTTTTTAAGTTTCATGAATTTGTCATTGAAATTATTTTTTTACAAATGAACATTCAAATATCTAAAATAAATTATAAAATTTATTTATATGTAATTGAAATTATTAAGCTATTTTGTGTTTAGAAAATCATAAAAATAATAATAATATTAAATTTATATGATAAAATATATTTTTATATGATTAAGGTATTAAAATATTATATAATTAAATATTCAATTTTAGCTATTACATTTATAGATATTAAAATGATGTATGCAATTTTTTAATTTCTTAGAAAATATAAAATTTTGATAGAATAAGTGAATAAGCGTCTCTCTCTCTCTCTCTATCTCTCTCTCTCTCAAGAAAAAGAGGTAAACTTCCCGCAATCTGTCCCCACCTCTCCTCCGATGGAGAGCTGAATCGAGCTCTATGGATCAAATTCGATGAAGCCGGCTGGCACCGCCTCCACCGACAATCCTCCGCCGCCGTTTCCTTCGCCTCCGACACCGCCTTTGCATTAGAGGGGAGGATGCAGCTCCGGATCTCACCGAGCATGAGAACCATCACGATCTCCAGCAACAATGGGGTCCTCGACTCGATGAAGGTTAAGGTTGGAACCGCCGCTCGCCCACCTCCTTATCGAAATCTCTTCTACACCGTCCTAATACTCGCCTTCCTCCTGCCCTTCGTCTTTATCCTCACCGCCGTTGTCACCCTTGAGGGCGTCGACAACTGCTCCTCTCTCGGTACTATTCCCTCTCCGACCCTTGCTCTTTCGTCATAACTCACCTTGATATGAATTGCAATTGTTTCCATCAGAAATTTATCTTTACTTGCGATTGGAATGAAATATGCGGGTTTTTTATGCGAAAATTTTCAATCTGCGTCTATGAATATGATAACTCGTGCTCGTGCTGGTGTTCAAGCATCGTATATGCTCTTGGATTTTACCCGGTTTAGAGCTCTTCATTTGTGTGTTGAGTTTGTTGTGGATTTGGTTGTTTTCTCTTGGTTTTTGGGTGATTTGATTATATTTCTGATGTGGATGGTTAGGGTTTGTTTTGACATTTCCTTTTGAAAAGTTCATCTGCTTTTGTTGCTGTCAGAAAATTAAAACATATTGTAATTGTTATGAATTGTTTCATGTAGATTTGAAAGAATGTTTTGTATTGAGAATTAATGGATCTGACCAGCGTTCATGTATATGTGAATGGCGTGCTCAATTAGTTCTATTTAGCTCCAAATGAACTCTGTATAGATAACTACACATCTATATGTAGTGCAGATTTTACTCTATAGCATGGCCTCCTTGGCAACATCTTGGACAAACTACGGTTCTATTGTTGACTAAACTTTACGGAATCTCTTTTGATGTACCTAGCCAGCTGGTACCATTCCTGACCTCCGACATGATTCAATAGATGTGAACCTTTGTTATTATTTATTTATTCCACAAATTTATTTTGCGTGTTATTTTTTCCTAGCCATTTACTGCCTCTTTATTCTTACAGCTCATCCTTGTTTGGTTCAATAACCTCATAAGCGTTTGGATTTATAGCAATTTTCTTTATGTTTCATCTATTTTTTTCTCAAAATTACGAGGAATTTCACTGGGATTGTGTTTGGCTTTTGTTAAAAATTTCTTCTTATTATTAGTTTACAATCCAATTTTATTGCTATGGTAATGGATAAACACCCTAAAAGAAAGTGAGATTGAGACTTTCTGTTAGCCACTCTTTGTAAAGATTGACCATACATCAAAATGTGCTCATTGATCTGTTATTTTTGCTCTTTCACTTTCGTAAAAGTGATGTTATTTTTCTAGCTTGAGCCTCACTTATTGTAGACATTTCATCCCTTCATCTGCGAACTGAACTCCTTCATAGTCTGACAGACTTGATTAAAAAAACATTTCTGTTGAATTTAATTTATGATCCCCGTGCAACTACCATTGTTCTATTAAATTGGGTAGGATGTTTTTTTTCATTCTTGGTTGCATGAAGATTGATGATAATGTGCTATCACTGTTCATTTAGAGTAGTTAACATCCACATTTGAAATTCTATTGTTGGCCATGGATATATGGCGAGGAATTTCCATGTAATTCATTTGTATGCAAGCTGCAGGAACAGCAATAGGACAGATGTTCTTGACCTTGTAGTGCTGCTAAATATGAGATCCCATAGCAACTGTCATTGTGCTGTTAAATGGAGCAGAATATTTCATTCTAGTTGCAGGTGTAATCAAGTTTACTTTAAGGATAATATTCTTTTACTCTCATTTGTAGTATTACATATTTAGCTACGGATCTATAGTTGGCTAATTGGTCAAGGAGTTCATATTTATCTGTGGTTGAGAAAATCAGATCGTTTTCCCCCAGTACAGTGCAAAGATCAGGAACAGGAATAAGAGAGATTTTCAAATGACTTAAAAGATTGTGCAAAGGGATTTGCATAAAATAGTTTTAACACCTCACTCAACAATATTGAATGGAGAATAAGAATTTAAAAAGCCTACTCTAAATAGTTGGGATAAGGGTAATGAAGATGGTAATGTTTTTTTTCAAGGATTCAAACCTAGGCTTCCTTGTTCAGGTAAGGGCAATACCACAGGGTTACATGTCTAATATGATGATGATGATGATGATGATGCTACTTAATTTTTACATCTACTGCATTCTTGACGTGCTTCTTTAATTTGATCTTTTTTGGGAATGGTTGACCACTTTCTTTTTGGTTTAAGGAGTGCTGGTGGTAGCATGAGAATGTACACAGGATAATTAAGGAAAAGAAATATATTTTTATAACATGTCAAAAATTGAATACTATTTAGGCTCATAATGATCATACGAAAGTTAAAATCTCATTAAGGGGTATAAGTAAATAAAAACATATAAATTTTGGTGATTATATAATAGGCTTGGTACTTAAGAAAAGAGAAAAATAGATATATAGAATCACAAAGGCATGAGATAAGAAATTTAGGAGTTATGATGAAGTTAGATGTATTAAAAGTGAAGATAATAGGATATTAGTCAAATATGAATATATCAATGAAAGATGAAAATATTACTTTGATAAATTACTAAATGAGTGATTTAAGGAAGAAATAATTTTGGAAGAGTATAATAAATAATATAATGAAATATATTAGGGATTGATTTAAAAATAAAGTGGAGTTTTCTCTAAAAAATGCTATTTAAAGGTAAGGCTTTAGGTTCATATGAAATAAGAGATCTAGATATTTTTTATCAAAGTTAGATTTATTAAAAGTATAGATAATAGGATATTGGTTAAAAAGGAATATATCAAGAAAAACTGAAAATATTACTGTGAGAAATTATTAAATGGGAGATGTAAGGAAGAAATTATTTTGGAAGAATATAATAAAATATATTTTAGATTGATCCAACAAAGTTAAATTGAGTTGGCTCTTAAAACAATGTATAAAGATAAGGTATATATATAATGATTTGATTAAGAAATATTTTTAATAAAATTTTGAAAGCAAAGAGGATGCCAAATGATTGCAGAAGAAACATTTTGATATCAATATTTTAGAATAAAAATAATGTTTAGGATTGTGCTTGTTAAACTTATAAGTTATAACTCATTGCAATGAAGCTATGAGAGAAAATAATGTAATATAGGCTTATAAATTATGTTACTTTTAGAGAACCACTTTGGTTTCATTCCAGGAAGATCTCTGATGCAAGTTATTTTTGTTTGAAGGCATTAAGATATTTGTATAATTTAATTGATCTTTAGAAGATATATGATCAAGTACTATTGAATTGATTTGCTATGCTTTAAGGTAGGAATGTTGCCAAAGACATGTTGTTTTATTAACAATATGCATGATGATGTACTAACTAGTATTAAAAGTAGTTGTGGAGTGACCCAATGGTTTTGAATTACTAATAGGTTTACTACATAGGGCAAAGAAAATGAGGTGCCTTAGTATATGCTTTTTGCAGATGATATAGTTGTTATTGTCAGAGTCATCCATTAAAATCAATGAAAAATTAAAATAATGGAAGAAATATTTAGAATATAAATGTCTTGGAAATACAAAAACAAAATTGAGTGTATGAAATATAATCTTAGTGGGAATGATGTTAATAATTATCATTTTATATTATTATAATATAAAATGTTACCTACATTTGATAAGTTAAAATATCTTAAAATATCTTTTATCTATTTTACAAAAAGAATATGAAGATATAGATGACAATATAATTTCTAGAATCAAAGATAGATTATTAAAATGAAGAAGTGCTTTGGGAGTTTTGTGTGACATGAGTATATTATGGAGGTTTAAAGGTAAATTTTATTAAATCACAATTAGGCTAATGGTATTGGGTGGATGTGATTGTTTTTAGGCTATAAAAAAGTCATTAATATCTACATATGACATAAATGAGATTGTTAAGATAGATGTGTGACATAGTTAGGAAGGATAAATTAAGGAATGATTATAATGGAGGAAATGTTGGAGCAACATCTATTAAATATAATGTGACTTAAAACTTCAAATACAGTATGGTGTTTTGGACATGTGCAGATAAGGGTAGGATGCACCTGTTAGATGAGTTGACAAAATTAATATAAAAGGATTAGGAAGGAAATGGCGGTGATGTAAGTTTATGGATAGAAGTTGTTCAAAATGATTTGTGAAGAGTATGTTTAATACTTCAGCCAACACTCAACAAGAATGATGATTGGGAAATTTATACACCGACTCATACAACTGTATGATCTTGGAGTTTTACTGGCTTGTGCCACGTGCTTTCATCAAAGTTTTGTTTTTCTGTTTAGTCTTTCATGCTATTCTTCAGCCATTTGGTTATATATATATATATATATATATATATATTGCTTATTTGAGTTTATTGGTGCTTTGCTTGCACGTTCTTGTTATAAACTGTGCGGTCGTGTATTTATATTTTCATGGTTCTCGTTCTTTTTGTTAGATTGCTTAGGAAGACGGCTTGGCCCGAAGTTACTTGGAAGGAGAACGGATCATTCTGTGGTAAATATCTGTTTCTTCCTATATATTGATATATGTAAGCTGTGAAGCTATGGTCAATGAATGGCTACCTTTGCTTGAGGAGCAGAAACTAATAATATTTTTTTTTTGCCTGGTTGAATTTATGCAGAGGCTTATGAGAGATTTGTATAAGACTCTTAATCATGTTAATTTTGAGGAGATTCCATCAGAAGCAAGATTGCCAGGATCATTCAATGAGTTTCTTATTGAAATAAAGAAAAACCACTATGATATCAAGACATTTGCTGTTTTTCTGAAGGCAACGGTACTTGTTTCTTATATGCACTATTTTAGATGGTTAATGCATCAAACGTTCCAAATTTCTCATTTATTTACTACTTTTTTCTATAGAGCTTTAATTAATGTGTCACAAACATTTTATGGTGGAGTGTTTTTATTAATCTAGTTTTCATATGAAAATATGCCCTTCAGATGCCGTGATACTGAAATATGCGTTTTCAGACCCTTTTGTTACTAAAAACTTTCAAAGAACATATCTCTAATGCAACAATTATAGAGCTGTATATCAAATCAATACCATTCTATAGACTCTTAGCCTTTTCTTTACATAGAACACTTCGCATGGAACTTCTAATTTGGAGATATCTCTAGTGTGAAGGCATCGAATCTAAAAAGCCAAGCCTCTATATATTCCACTGAATTTGTGGTCTCAGATGGAGAACGAATAAATGCCTCTGTATATTTCGCATGTACAGACACTAGCATTTCTAGCCAAGATATTCTCCTCCTGATCTAGATACTAGGAACCCGATTGCTAGCTTACTCAGTCGTTTTTCACATATTGTTGATTAAATTAATAAAATTGATTTTTGTCCTTATCATTCCACTTTATCCGAGACATCTTTACTGATACATCAATGAACTTCGCAGATGGAAAGTATGGATAGAGAAGCAAAACGATCAAAGTTGGCAGAACAGTTGCACAAGCATTTTGCAGCTGATGCTATCCCTAAAGGCATCCATTGTCTTTCTTTGCGCCTAGCTGATGAATATTCGTCTAATGCTCTTGCACGGAAGCAACTTCCTTCTCCAGAGTTGCTGCCTTTGCTCTCTGACAATTCTTTGCACCATTTTGTTTTGTTAACGGACAATGTTCTTGCAGCTTCTGTTGTTCTTACATCTACTGTGAGGTCTTCATTAAGGCCTAAGAAAATAGTCTTTCATGTTATAACTGATAAGAAGACATATCCGGTAATGCATTCATGGTTTTCTTTACATCCTCCTTCGCCGGCAATTGTTGAGGTTAAAGGTATTCACCAATTTGATTGGTTGACAAGAGAAAATGTTCCTATTCTTGACGCTATAGAGAGCCATCATGGTGTTCGAAATCACTATCATGGAGATCACGCCAAGGGAAGTAATTTTACCGACAACCCAAGAATTTTTGCTTCAAAACTGCAAGCAAGGAGTCCAAAATACATTTCCCTGCTCAACCATCTTCGCATATACCTGCCTGAGGTAAATTAAATAAGCCTTAGTTTTCTAGAGATATTCAATCATCTTATAATGAAAAAAATTGATTACTACTAAAGCACACAATCTTCCAGTGCCTATTTGGGATTGCTTTTTATTTATTTATTGAAAATGGTAATGGCATTTTTTTTTTCTTTTTTCAAAGATAGGTTGAGCAGTTTTAAAAATTTATAATAACATATTTTAGATGTTTTGTAAGTTCATGACAAAATTTTGAATTTTAACGGGCAGTAAGTTTTGAACTTGGGTCAAAAGAGAAACACACAAGCACTTAAACACTAAGCCAAGTAATAACTTATATTACTTAGAAGAAATACATTTATATAAACTAAATCAAAATAAGAAGAAGGAATATTATTTTAAGATTCGATCATTTTATATAGATATCATTCAAAAAACTTAAACTACTAGCGGCATTGATTCATAATAACAGTTCAACATTAAAAATATCAAGTACACACACAAATATATATATATATAGCAAAAATTGAAAGCCTAAACGAAAAAGAAAGCGTGATTAGTGATTGGAATACATTGCCTTTTATCTATCTTGATCAATGATATAAAACTTTGTATGACACCCTAAGATTTTTTTGGTCTACCTTAAAAATATGCATTCAATGTGTTCCACAGCTGTTTCCAAACCTCAACAAGGTGATCTTTCTTGATGATGATGTTGTTATTCAACGTGACTTGTCACCACTTTGGGATATTAATATGGCTGGAAAGCTAAACGGCGCTGTAGAGACTTGTAATGGTGATGATAAATGGGTCATGTCCAAACGATTCCGGACATATTTCAACTTTTCTCATCCCATCATTTCTAATAATTTGGACCCAGATGAATGCGCTTGGGCTTATGGGATGAATATCTTTGATTTGAACGCTTGGAGGAAAACAAAAATTAGAGATACATACCACTATTGGCTGAAGGAGGTAATTTTCATTTTTTTTTTCTTAATTTCTTAATTATTAGTTGCAATCTTTGTGAACATATTCATATAAGTTACGAAGTTGTCTTAAACTCATTTAACGCTGAATATCTTATGATCCAATGTATTTTTTATTTGCAGGAACCAAATATTTATTATTTTAAGTTTTTTTTGGTTAAAAAATTATACATTAATTCTTGGGGATGGCAAAAAGACCTTTTGAAAATTGAATATCGACCTTTTTTTTATTCTTATTTTTTAAGTAGGGTTGGCCGAGTAAGCCAACCTTATTTTATCCATAAATTATGTTGGCCATATGTCTTGATAACCATAAAGCGCCCATCAATTAAAGGATGTGTGTGGCATACATAGCCAATCGACCTAGTTATTCTAAGAATCAAATGCTTTTTTTTTTAGGGAAATTTACAAACATACCACTTTATACCATCCTATTTGCATATCTAACACCCAAAACTTTAATATTACATATATACCACCCAATATTATTTTAATATCAAATATACCACTTATATTTTCTTTCTACCACTCATATATTTCATTTATATCACTCATATTTGATATGAAAATGAACTATGTGTGGTATGTATGTAATATTAAAATTTTAGGTGTTAAATATGTAAATAGAAAAGTATATTGTGGTATGTATGTAAATCTCACTTTTTTGGTTTTAATATTCTTATGTGATTTCTAATAGAAGGCAAAAGAAACAATCATCATAGCTATGCATGTGGCAAGAATACATGATGGATAGAATATTATTGCCAATCTGCTTCTTAAAACATCTCAGAATTATGAAATTTTTAGGGTTCATCAAAATTATCAATATGATGATAATTAATGTGTTAGAATATGCATTTTTTTATTCCATTCTTCAATTAATATTTCACTCTGAAAGACATAATATACTGAAACACATAGCCTGATGACTCTTTACTTATCTTCCTTTTCTTCGAAACCTTTTCGCAGAATCTAAAGTCAAACTTAATGCTATGGAAGTTCGGTACGCTGCCGCCGGCTCTTATAGCTTTCCGAGGCCATATTCATCCGATCGATCCATCGTGGCATATGTTAGGATTGGGCTATCAGGAGAAGTCCAACATTGATAATGTGAGAAAAGCTGCTGTTATTCATTACAATGGGCAGTGTAAGCCATGGCTGGAGATTGGTTTCAAGCATCTAAAGCCTTTTTGGACTAAGCATGTAAATTACTCCAACGAATTCATCAGAAATTGCCATATTTTGAAGCCTGAAGAATGAAATAGATTGAAAATTTTGGTATATTGATCATTCATTTAATGGAAATTTTGGTCAAATGGGCATTCTATCTGCTTTGCTGCTGGTGATTTGAGTATTCTTTTGATCTGAAAAATAATTGTTTCAAGAATTTTATATGCATTTGAGGCATAGTCAAGGAAGCAGCAAAATGATTAGTACAACACTACAACTGGCAAAAAAAGAAAAAGAAAAAAAGAAGCTTGGATTGGTACACAACTGAAACAAACCTATTCTTAGCTAATTTTAGTTTCCACAATTCTTTTGCCTTCCAAATTTTCATTTCTTTTACCTTCTCTGAAAGAATGTAAGTGTGCATGAATATTTGTTAGTAGCTATTCTTGTGATAGAGCTGTTAGGATATTCCTTGTGATTCTTGAGATATTCAAATGTATAATAAATTTGTTGCAAGTGTGCATATACCTATTTTAATTTGCTTTTCATTGTCAAATTATTTGTGGGAGGTTTTATTATGCTTCGTTTGAGATTACTTTTTTATTATTTCTAAAAGTAATTTTAAAAAAAAAGTTGTTTTAAGAAGCAGTAATCAAGCCGCCCCAATTCCCAAATGAAGCCTTTCGTCAGCAATAAAGTAGCTTTTTAGTATAGAAATTTTAATTTTTGTACTAAAAATTTGTTTTAAGTAGTAGTGAGAAAGTCATCGGCTTCGTTTCGAATGGCTTTCTTACATAACTTTATAGTATAAAATTTTTAATCTTTATATTAAAAAGTTATTTTAAGAAGCAATAAAAAAGACGTTCAAATTGAACGGGAAGTTGGAAAGTTTAAAATTCTTTAGAGAACAATGAAACGATAAAGCGGTTTTCATATTAACATGAAAAATTTTAAACTTTACTCGAGCTAAATTTGGTTTGAGTCCACATTTTTTTATTTTGAGTCGACGGTCAAGCTGATTTGAGTTGAGAATAATAATTTATAAAATTGTAAATTAATATATCTTTTTATTAATTTTGTTTTTTTTTTAATCACTCATATTTTAATTTAATAAGAATATAT